AATGCCCTATTATGTGCAATTCCATGTTTTAAACTAGTATATCGCACACAAAAAGATTTTTAGGTAATTACTGTATTTATATGTGCTTCATAAAGTTTTACATTAGTTGTATTTATTAGTTATTCCTTTCAATTTAATATTTGTCTTATATTTATAATTAACTATTATTATTTATATAATTGGATTATAACCTTTTATAATTTACTATTTAATAATTATCATTTATTAATAATTTTAAAGTATGTAAAAACTTTTATTTATGTACTACAAATACTTTAAGAAGATTTTTAAAATGCGTGAGGCGAGCTATCTACGACATCGCCAGAGAAGGATGATATTTTCGGAAGAACGGCGGGGGAAAACAACTGCCACTTTTCGTCTGCTGTTTACTCGTAATATTACACAAATTAAGTAAACGGAAACTGCTCATTTCCATAACCGTCAAAGGGTTAAGATGAAGTTGGTTATCGCCCTCTGTCTGCGGTGATCATTTAATTATGGTTTATAAGCTACGTCAACAGTGGAGGATGCCATACGCCATACCAACAGCTAATGGAGTTGAAACGGGGCCGCATCGTTGGTATGCTAGAGAGTAGAACTTCATATCAAGCAATCACAGCCCGCACGTAACGTACTGCTTCAATAGTGATGAGTGTTTGGAAGTCTAGAACAGAACCAAATAAGGCGAAATCCTTGCAGTGGGGCACGCAATACCATAATGTAAAGGGACGACTGACACCTCAACCGCATAGCTGTGACGAATCGTGCAGCGTCCTCTCATGTGTTAGCAAAATGTTGGAGCACGGCTACACGTGTTGTGTTGTCTAGCTCCAGGTTTCGTTGCCGTCTGCTGCAGCATGAACTGCGTGCAAGGAGTCCTCGGTCGCTGAATCACAGACGTCTCCGAATCGAATAAGCACGTTAACATAGTGCGTGGAGTGACCTGTGGCAACAAGCTGTTTTCTCCGATGATTCTCGCTACAATCTGGAGTACAGTGATGGAATAGTTGGCGTCAGATGTTAGAGAGGGCAATATCCTCTTCTACAGTGTGTTATCAAGTGCATTCAGCGCCCAACGGCCTGGCATCATGGTGTAGGGAGCTATTGGGTATAATTGTCGATCCCATCTAGTGCAGATTTCGGTCAACCTCAGCAGTATCCTTATATGGCAAAGTTGTGGAGCCAAACATCCTTCCCATTCTTGGAGTCATTCCAGGTGCTGAATTTCAGCAAGATAATGCCCGTGCACTTGTTAATGAGACTGAAAAAAGTTTCGTTGGGGCAAAAAATGTTTTTCTTCTTCCATGGCCTGCTTATTCCCCGGATATGTCGCCAATCGAGCATATCTATGATTTCATCCGTCGGCAACTCTCTTGTATAGCTGGCGGGGCACACACTAAGGCTGAACTTTGGCGTCAAGTCGAAGCCATATGTCATTCCGAGGGATTACATTCAGAACTTCTATGATTCAATGCAACTACGTCTACAGGCGCTCCTCGCTCAGCATGGCGGGCCCACAAAGTGCTGATTTCTGACTTCATTTCTCTTTTATTTTGTAAATTTGATCATTTATTTGTACAACTATCAGTAATATGCGCAATACATTTCATGCATTTCCGACACTTCCTTCATGGTATTGCACTTTCATAAACATTAGTGTATAACTGAAACTTTAAAAGCATTGTAAAGGCAGTCGTTTTAAAGCTACTTTATTTTATCCGTTCAAAGTAAAGTTTCGGCAAAATATTCAAAACTAGTTATATCAAATAAAAAAGATATGAAGAAAACAAAAACGCCTCGTATTTTTGCATTATTTAAAATATATTTTATCAACTTTCGCTAATTTCATATGAAAATCTCTAAAAAAAATTTCTTAAAAGCAACGGAGAAAGAACATGATTAATAGAAAGTAAAAATATATTCCAAAATAAAATTAGAAATTTTCATATCTATCGACAAGTTATACATTGCATTTGCGTTTTGCTTAATATAAAAGTACAGATTATAAAAATCTAATGTAGACACCAAGTGTATGGCCTATTAAATTATACACATTATGGTTACACGTCGTTTAAACTTATTTCCTTGAATTATTCAAAGTTAATTAACCAATCACTCAAGACGAGTTGAAAATGGTATCAAAAACTGCCAATTTTGAAATTAAATACCCCGGTCAATTATTGTCGTACGGGATTCAAACTTGGTATAGATTGATTTTTTTAATAGCGAGTAGAATTCTTTCCCAAATATAAGCACAGCAGCCGAGAGACCACATTAAAATTTAGATTTCGCTATTTTTCGGAAATATTTTTTTAAATTGGTTATTGGTAGAAATATGAATATCTTTGTCATTTAAAACACTTCTGTAATTCGAAATATATAACTACGAACGACAGGTGATAAAACAAAACCCCGAGACGGTCTTTAAACCCGCGTAAATGGTTGGGTGTGTATATGTGTATATATATATGCATTTGGTACTGCCAATTGCAGTAAAAATGGAGGTGCGCAGCTAGATGTTATAAGAGTCCTATATAAAATTTTGTATAAGTATCCTATATACAAAATTTCAACGCTTTATGGCTAATCGTTTTTGCTTTATGGGAGATATATACAAACATGCATACATACGAACGTACGTATGTACATATGTCACGAAAAAATATCTTTTGAAGGCACTTTACAAAAAATAATCCTTTATTTTGTCCGCACGTACAGACATCATTCAAATGGATTCCGGAAGGATCAAAGTGTTTTAGGAATAACGTTTTTTAAAAAGGGTAAAAATAAAAGATAAAAAGGGTGAAATAAAAGATTACTATAAGTGTTCTGTTAGGACTTTCGTAAATAATGTGAAAGAACAGTTGTTAGGTGCGTCACTGGTTGCTGAGCAGTTAAAGACTGCTGAATTCTTAAAGTTCGAAACCAGACGAATGAACGTAATGCGTTTCCTCACGTTTAATGTGAATATGCGTCATCTACTCTTTGAGAACACTCCATAAAGGTCTCTGCCCCATAGACAGATAATCCTGGGGTGTGCTTTGGCATATTCAGTTTATCAAAGCGTAACATGGTAATCATTCATAAATTGTACACTGAGCGTTATTCTAAGCTCAAATATATTTTTATCTCTTTAGCAAACTATGAGGTTTATGGTATTTCGATTAATAATAAATATTTATTTACTAATTTTTATCAGGTAAAGAGGAAGTGAAAGCTTTTATTATATTTATCGATTCGTAAAATTTAGTGCATTAGTGCAAATTGTCTTATCATATGTAAACATAAAAGTAATTAACTTTCTTAGCATTAACACTTAATTCTCTCTATGTAAATGGTCTATATCTAAGACCATAAACTCCGGTATAGGCAAATAGCACATATGAGTATAATTCCTTATAATATTCGAAAGGAATTTTTGGATTGAATAAATATTTAATTATATTTAAGTATTTGAATTGCGTTGATGGAAGTTAATCCTTTTCCTGGAAAAGAAACTACAAGCACAATCCGTGGGGACAAAACAGCTTTTGCCTTAGTCTTCAAATTATTGATGAAGAATTCTAGACATCATAAATGTTTAACTATGATCTCAAGATACTTGCACCACAATGCAATGTCTATTCAGAACAAATATCGATCTCAAAGTGGGTCGTTTGGCTCAAATGTTCACCCCCATCGATTTCGCTGCGGTTTGCCGAGCAATGGGCAATTAGTGAAATAGAGTGAACGGGAAACCTTTTTTTCTCCCACTTTTCTCTTCTCTCAACTTCCCTTGTCACTGTCTTTACAATAAAATAAAATTCTTTATCGTTCACAAATGCAAACAAGATCTCTGTCGCGTGACTCGGAAATTCTTTTGGGAGAATTTGAAAAATTCGATCATTAAACAGTTTACGAAAAAAGAGGAAAAAGAATCCAGTCAATTAGTTTTGATGACAATTTTCCAGTCAATCTTTGCTTTTATGTGCAACAATCACATGTAAATATCTTAAATTAGAAGCATACCGAAGTGAAAGGAAAGGTATTTTAGGAAGTGGAGGAAAAAATAGTCTGATGGCCTCTTAATTGAATGCTGCATTTAATAACTAGATTGATGTTACATTTTCTTTTAAAATTTGTTTAAACACCAAACAAAACACAATGGTATAATATTCCAAAGCAGTGACGTTCCATTTAAAATGTTATTTATTTTAAGAAATCATTTTTTTAATTTATTAATCATTTTTTTAATTAAGTTTATTCTGAATAAAAAATGGGACAGCTCTGTATCTCCAGTTCTACTGAGCTTTTTGACGAAATTTGATTTGCGTTTTTCATATCTCAAAAGCGGATATATATTAGATTTATATATAGTAGTGTTCTAACATATGCATTTTGACTCAAAATCAGACGTTTTCCGAAACAATATAGGATTTTTTCCTATATTTCGATTATACGCTTCAAGCTTCTCCATAGTGCTGAGCTTGTAAAAATCACACGAGAAATTGAAAAAAAAATATCTTTCAAAATTTTAGCTCTCTAGTGTTAAATAAATTTGGTATATATTTTAATTATACATCTTTTTTAATTAAACATACTTGAGTTCTTCTTTCACACTTTGAAATCTAAGTTCAAGCTAAATAAAATTCATAGATATTTCCAGTTTTATTTTTAAATTTCGTATGTTTTATTAATTTTTTGCAAATTTTGGAAATCATTTTTGAGTTATAACCTAGAACGCTTTTACCATCACTTTAAAGTAGATATATTTTTAGAGGTACTTACAAAACTCGGAGTTTTCTTTCTACAAGATTTCCCAAAATATACTTGAATTTACATTTTGGAGCGTTTTGAAATTTGATAAATTTTTATAAGCTATAATAATGCAAAATCTGGTTTACACTTTATTAAGATTATTTGAAAAAATTAAAGATGCACTTTTCTTGCACTAATGGAAAGGAAAATAGGTTGTAGAGACATTACGTTATTTTGAGGCAGGAGAGATGAAAAATGAGCAATGCCCTCGCTAGGACTCGAACCATGAACCTCTCGAATACTTGTCGAGCATGCTGACCACTACACCATGAAGGCATGCTAAGTGGGCGGGAGAAATACCTTATAAGGTTGACGACAATTAAGAATTTCGACAAGCAAATTATTCTTCGTGCAAGGTCGAAAAGGTGCGTCAAAATACACTTTTAAATTTCTCGTAAAGCGTGTTACACAGTTTTACAAAATTTAATATTTAGGTGTAATTTTAAACGTAGAACTGGAACATGGAAAAACATCGCATGTCCTATCAGAAAAAGTCCAGTTCTATGCAAAATACCTAGGTAAGAAGAATAATATATATGAGTCTAATATCTATTCTAAGTCGCACTACTGAAACATGCAAAAAGCATATTAAGGTTTGTCTATCGTCTCATTAGAACGGAAGATACAGAACTATCCCATTTTCTTCGTGTAGAATGTATAAAGTTACGTTTTTTTCATAGTTAAATGTAATTAAAATTAGGCCAGCTGTAGAAATGAGATACCGAATTTTAAATAGTAGCAAGTAAATAACAAAAATATTGTGTAAAACTCTTTTGCAGTACCATTGCTTCCAATCGAATGTTCTGAACTTTCGAAATGGTTAATAATTAATTAACTAAAATGTAACTATTTTCTACACTGTTTATTTAATTGTAATGTAAACAGTTTAAAACGTAAATCTAAATGAACATATTAATGTACTGTAAATAAAAAAAATGTAAGAACATTATGAACTCTTCTAGATATGTTTTGCTAAACTATTATGTCAGAATTTATCGATAGGGTATCTAAAGCCCTCTAAACGAACAATCAAGTTATGACAAGAAAGTTTTAAATTTCTTATAAAGCTTAAAACTTTCTTAAAAACTCCCTGTTATTTAGAGGTGTATTTAAAATAATAAAAATATACATTTCGACATATTTTGTTGTTATTGCTAAGTAAGTTGAACGAATTGATTAAATATGAAAGAAAATCTGCAACGAAGAAGACCAAGGAATAGTGACTGGTTAAAGAATTACTATTTACTAAACTCTTATTATTATAACTGTGTAGAGGAAAAAGGCGGGAATATGGGCAATGATCCCTCAAACTTCTTTAGCGATTAAGCTACTTATCTTCCTTGAGAATCTTAGTCAAAGCATGCGTGCTTAAAATTAAGCAGGTTAAAATTAAACGTCTCCCACAAAAGCCAGCGTTATATTGCTTTGGAGCCTATTCCAACTGTTTTGAAATTTTTATATAAGCAGTTGTTTTATGTTAAATAGCTTTACTGTAATTCCCCTTTTCCGTTTTCCTGCCAGAATCCAAATTTTAGTTCTTGAGTATTCAAATGAGGTAGGAAATAATGGATGGGAACGTTGAGGATTGTCTAACCATAGCGTGTTCCGCTTGATTAAAGCCACGCTATTTGTTGAATCTCTTTGGTAATTGTCTGTCTGTGGTAACGTTGCTTTATTCTTGCCATTAGAGTTTAAAGTAGTAGTAGTAGTACATAAAGTAGTTGTAGCACCGGAATTAAATTTGAGCCAATTTGAGCGTTATTCATTCCGTCTAGCCTTAACTTAGCTTTAATTTGAATTCATTACTTATGAATTACGGCATAAATGCTGGCTGGTTTTGTAAGCATAAGAAGTGCTTCTGTTAAATTATTGAGTTTTAATGAAAGAGTCTTTTACACCTTTCTTAAGTTCTGTGTCTGATTACTGGACATGTCGATAAGTCGTTTAGGTTTAGCTTGAGTCTAGAAATTAGTTTATGCTTCCCAAGAAGGTGAGTATCTAAAACTGTTAACCTAGTTTATACATTAAATTATTTTCTTTTAAGAGTAGTCAGAACTACTGCAAAATCTACTAAACCAAAACAAGGTAACTGTTGTAACACACACTCACAACGACACACACTTAAAAAAGTAACTCTTTAAGTGATTCTAACTGCAGAGGGAAGCAATGTAAATTTTTGAACCCCGCTATGACATCCTATGTATCTCGCCGTATATTGCAACGCTTTTGTCAAAAAACAGAACTTAGGATCAAACACTCGTATTAAACCGGGCAGAAAGCCAATTGCAAGAGAAGAAATCGAAGAAGAGCTCATTTCTTATCTTCTGTTGATGGAACAAAACGTTTTTGGCTTCGCTGTCGCAGCCTTAATAAAGCGAAGTGTTTCCATCTAGCAAATGCAATTGTATCGATACCTTTTTCACTTGAAACGAGGCACGAGAACTTGATGTGACCATTCTAGACACAGAAACGAAAGCTGTTTACGGGTTTTCAAGTCATGCAGGACTTATTTGTGTTCAGAAACTTTACAGATACTTTCTTCACACACTTAAAAAAGTAAGATACTTTCTTTTTCAAAGGTTGAGAAGGTATGAAAACCGCGAGTATACTGGAGACAAAAATATTTAGTATTGACGAAGTAATAAATTGGGGGGTCCAAAGACACGTAAGTCATATTGTTCTTTCTCTCGTAATTTTTCAGAGAACTAACATGCCTGAGATTTTAATGAATGACAGTTCGCCAAGCTCTATCGGTCTAGTACTGAAAGTAACAGTTATGCTTAATGGTTTATACAATGTATTCAGAAGTTTCTTCAGCTGAGATGCTGCCACTTTTATTGGCTTTGTATAAGTATTAGTTAGACATACATAATCCCTATTAAATTGATATAACATGAGAAAGCTCGCCCTATACCTTTTCTTTCATCTCGTCGTAGATATAGGTATATGACTTTCAAGAGCTCTTTGAAAGTACTATATATTAAGGAAATAAAGGAAGCTAAAATATTCGCAACGTTATTGCTCTTTATTAGCGTGTTCATTTATTAGCCTAAAAGGGCGTTAGCCCGAATGGGCTATTAGTCTTGAAACGGAATTTTGTGTCGTACACTATAAACGGCGAATTCCTTTCAAATTGTTGCCACTAAATACTATCTCTCTGTAATACCTTTAAAGAAATTAAATAGCGAAGAATCTGCATGTATGCATGTACACTGTCGGGGGGAAAAATTGGGGACAGTTCTATATCTTCCGTTCTACTGGGCCGATTGACGAAATTCAAATTGTGTTTTCCATGTCTCGAAAGCGCGACTTAGGATCTATATTAGATTTATATATAGTATTGTTCTAACGCAGGTATTTTGACACAAAATTGGAATTTTTCTGGAATGACATGCCACTTTTTTTCCATAATTTACGGAAAAATTGAAAAAATTAACTTGCCGCATTTTTTTCAGTTTCCACTAAGAGTATTTCACTTGGCGAACTTCGTAGTTTATAGCAACCTATTTTCCTATCCTATTTTCGTCTATTTTTGTATTTGTATTTCGCCTATTATTGTTCGTCTATTTTTGTAGACGAACGGGAAAAAGTCATCGTTTATACTTTCAAATAATTTTAAGAAAGTGCGTAAACCACATTTGGCGTTACTATCGCTTTTAACAAATATGCCATATTTCAAAATGCGCCAATATGTAAATTCACGTATATCCTAGGAAATTTTGAATACAAAACTCTATTTTTTTGCAGGAATTCTTAAAAATAGACTGCTTTAAGATAATGGTAAAAATTTTATAGTTTATATTTCAAAATCGTTTTCGAAAAATGTATAAAAATGTTTAAAAAGAAATCATAAAGAATAAGTGAATTTTATTTTTAATGAACCTTAATTTCGAAATCTGAAGGGAAGAATATAATATAAAATTTAATAAAAAAGAGATATTAATAAATATATACAAGATTCAATTAACATGGAGGAGCTAAAATTTTGAGAGCTAATTTTTTAAAAACTACTAAGCACTTTGGAATAATTTCAGTCATAGAATCGAAATATCGAAAAAACATTATATGTAATTTCAGAAAAAGTCCGATTTTGTGTCAAAATACCTATATTAGAACAAGGCTAGATATAAATGTAATACATATCTTAAATCAAGCTTTCGAGATGTGAAAAATGCAATTTGAATTTGTTAACATAAAGTTAGGTATTTTTGCATAATGAAACTCGAAAACATAAAAGCGAACGTGCGCCAAAATGTATATTAGCGAGAGAAAGCGAAGGTTCGGGGCATTCGGTTCTCACGTTAGCTACTTGTACCTGGCCAAAGTTCTAATTCAGTTAGTCCTTTCTCTTTCAGGTAGGGTGTTAAGGTAAGAGCTAAGGTGAGAATACTGTGTCGAAGTAATATTCCGTATGCTGCAAGCTGGTGCAAAACAATCCGCTATTGCGAGAGAACTGAATATGCAACGTAGTGTCTTCAATAGACTGTGGAATCGTTACCGAAGAGATCAAAACACCTCTCAAAGACGTGGGTCTGGAAGCCGGGGGATTACCACAACGGCAGACAATTGTTCCTTTTGCTAAGTGCGAAATGCTATAGATCCCTAATAGCACTACGGCCGGCTTCGCATCTCCCTTCTGCAGGACGCCCATATCCCGACAAACTCAGTCTCGTCGACTGCATGAGGTGGACTGTAAGCCCGGTGACTTGTGTTTTGTGTTTCTTTGGCCCCCTCGCATATCGGATTACTGTTGAATTGGGATCACAGTTGAACACCACAACAGTGGGCCACGTATTCTTTACAGATGAGTCTCCATTTAACATCAGGAACGAATCCCGAAGGAAAATTATATGGCAAGAGCGCTATCGCGCGCCAAACATGGTTGAAAGATTTAGATTAAATAATCTAAATTAATCGTCGAAAGAGATCTTTACAGAGGAGGAGGCTTACTTGCATGGGCTGGGATAGCAACGAACGGCCGCACCGATCTCAACCTATTCCTGTTGTTCCGCCACAGCAGTCCAATTATCATGGCAACATTCTACACCTTCTTGTGTAGACTACAACGGCATAACTTCCTTTTATTGCTGTAATGAGTACCTGTGGTATATTTAGAGACAATAACGTCAGCCCGCATACAGCTCGAGCTGTTAGAAGTTATCTTTTCAGTGAAACCATTCTGCATCTGCCCTTGGCGTGCTTGATCACCGGACCTAAATTCCCTAGAAAGTGTTTGGAACATATTAGAACATCATATAGCAGTTTGCAGAGTATCG